CTTATTTTCTTATCTCTTTCCCTTTGTCTCGTTTATTCTTCTTGTCGTTTTTCCATCGCATTCCAAAACTCTCCGTTTCAAAACAAAAGCAATATTAACAATAGTTAAGGTGGTCGTGATCCTCAACCGCAGAACCATGATGCGGTTTGTGATGACAAGCTCCAAAGATGTTTCCATGTTCTTCATCTTCGTGTCCCTGGCTTTCATGAATTGCTTTCAACACTTTGGATCCAACGCTCAACCCATTCCACAAGAAGAAGGTATGCACTTTCCATTTTACTCTTACCATGATTTTTGTGTGTGTGTGTGTGTTAATATCACTATGTTTGATTGATTGCTACAACGTGTGAATTTTGGAAACTCTTTTGTAACTTCCCAAACTGGCCCTTTTGTTTCGCTTCTCTTTGAAAAAGTGAAACTGCCTTTTACTTTACAAACTTCCAACCTTTCTCACTTGTGCTCCAAACCCAACTTCCACTATTTGGTTCATCAACTTGCATGGCTACTTGTGGTTTGTTTGGATTGGTGGTGGGAGATTTAAAATTATGGTGGCACCTTGAAAAAAAATTGAAACAATTATGTGTTACTTTGTTTTCGAAGTAGAAAATATCTAAACTGATTTTGGTAAAAGTGAAGCCAAACCAAACATCCTAATGGTATTCTGTTAAAAGATCCATAAGGAAATCCCCAATGTCCATGTTTCTTCTTCTTCTTCTTTTTCCTGATCCCTCTCTTCCATTAACATTTATGTAGTTTTGTTTTGGAGGAGGTTGTGTTTCTAACTTGCTAAAAAAATTAAAAATATATCTGTTTGGTTTCTTTGATCTATGAATTCTTATTAGCAATGCTAGATTCTTCATCATACTTTAATTAATCATTCTTCATCATACTTTTTTAATTTTCTAGGATTATTTTGGCTCCGGTTGAAAGTGAGAAGGATTAAAAAAAATTGAAATTTTAATTGAAATAGAAAAGAGAAAGAAAATTATCGTTATCCATGATTTCTCTTATGTTTATTTTCTTTCCTTTCATTGAAACTTAGGGACTTGAATCTGGGTTTTCTTTCCTCTCATTAAACAAGGGATTTGTACCTGGATTCTGGATTTTTTTTTTTATTATTTATTTTTATTTTGACACTGTCGTGATTTTTGGAATGTTTTGGTATCCAATGTAATCACGACAATTACTCATTACTACGTGATGTGAGGTTGCCTCGTCTGTAAAGTACAAGAGGGGCCACATTATTATTTTTAATTCTTTACAAAGGGGGAGCATATTTTTTATTTTATTTATTCGATATTTATCTTATTATTAAGGAGACCCTTGTTTGCAATTGCTTTTATAATAGATGGATCATGCAGTTGAGATAGGACATATATTTATAATTTAAGGCTGAAATATATGTACAACACATAATATTACAGCTGTTGAGCAAGCTACAAGTTTGAAAATTGCTAAATAAGTGAGGGAAAATTGGTAATATAACATGCATGTGATTGTTGTCTAGATGTGTGCAAGTCAAAGAAAGTGTGGCAGATCGAATTTTAAATTTTCTAGAATTTTATCCTTTTAGGGCAAAACAATAGCTTCTCCCAACACATGATTTAATTTTATTTCTTTCACCTTTGAGTAGTGACAGAGATGTTCCACAGGCTGAAACTGTGCCACCACTAGTTATTAATTAATTAGCATGCCAATAATTAATAGAGAAATGACACTTTTACCACCATGTGCATTAATTAGTAGCAATAACATTTCGCAATTCTATTCACATTTCACACGCGAAAGAGACTAAACATACTATTTGGCACATAAAAATCGTGGCAGCCATAGGAGAAAATAAAGAAAAGTGAAGTAAATTGTGATAGAGTTAGGTATATGCTAGTCAAATTTTGTGTCAATACGCTCTAAATGTTCTTTTCTCCTTAGGATAAACATGGCATTACTTGTCAATGCAATAATGTGTCATATGATTAGTATCCCTTAAACCACACGATTCTTCATCTTAAGGTTTAATTATGTTTATTGTGGACGTCACGTCGATCATGTTTGTTATGTGTATTATTGACGGTTGTTATAATAATATTGATTTAATAGGACTAAGATGCTTCACGGGGTTCATTTGAGAAGCTTTGACAATTTGGAATATATATATATATATATAATTTATTTATTTTTTTCATGGAAAAAGTTCAATTTCTCATATTATATTGTCCGCCATGTATGACTTATTGGTCAAATTATGAATAAAAAGGTAGCATCGTGCTCAAATTGTTAAGGCTATATATATTGACTAGAATTGCAACATATGAGCCAATGCATATGTTTACTAACTAAAGCTTTTGACTTTGCTAGAGTGTTTTCTTGTTAAAATGAGTAGGTCACAATCTAGAATTTACTAAAATTGACATGGTTGGAATTTACTTATAAGTAAAAAATAAATAAATAAATAAAAATAAAAAAGTGATTTTACAATATTAAAAAAATTAGTTATATACATTAGATTTTATTAATTTATAATATTTAAAAAAAAATTTGTCTTTATTACAATTATCAAAAGAAGTAGTGCAATTGACATATCATGCATTAAAGAAAATTTTTTTTAGAAAGAGTATTACTAAATGAAATAAAAATAGTGAAAATTTGTTTATAATTAACAACAAAATATGTGTTTTTGTTTTTTAATAATAGAAAACAGAGGGAATATAGTTTGACATCCGATCTTCTTTTGAAAGAAGTTATAGATTCTCTTAAAATTGGCCTAATAATTTTTAAATTACTTAAATAAAAATATTTGGGATGGGGATGGTTAAGACATAAATGTTTGTTTTTACTAATATTTAGTACTCCTAGATTGATTATGGTGATGTCAGAAAGATTTGTTTGGGAGGCTACGAGATTATCTCTTGGATTTATGTTAATCAGTGGTTAATCCCACTTGTCCCACTCCCATGTGATGTGAAGAAGCACTTTGACATTCTTTTGTATATTTTAAGAAGTTTGATTAAATTAATTGTCTCATGTGATGTGAAGCACTTTCATATTTTATTTCAAAGAAAGTTTGATTAAATTAAGACAAATACGAGATGCATGTAGCCTAAACTATTTAATTTTCCTTTGCAGTGAAATTACTAGGAGCAATATCAGAGAAGCTAGAGAACGTGAATTGGAAAGTTACAGAACGTTCCTGCAACGGTGGTGGAGGATTTGATAACAGGAAAATATCAAGGGATCAGGATCAAATCATAAGGAATGTCACGTGTGATTGCACTTTCAACAATAACACCATTTGCCATGTGACATCCATGTAACCATTTTTCATACCCTCTCTTGCTACTTACTATATGCAACTTGGACATAAGTTGTTATTCACGGTGACACCAATAGACAATAGGGTTCTGGGAGAGTTAGAGAAAACAAATGAATTTCTTTTTAGAGTTAATCACTTATATACTGCTAGTGTAAAAATTTTTTATACTGGTAATTAATTATATTTTTTAATGGTGTCATATTACTGTTAAAAATAAATGTGTTTACAGTGACATAGTACAATTAAAATATATAAATTAGTTGTCAATATAAAAAAAACTTTACACTGACAGTATATAAGTAATTAACTCTTTTTTTATGATGAACTAATGAAATTTTTACTCATAACCTCTTTACTAGAGTGGACTGTAACACTCCTTTTAAATAAATAAATAAATAAATAAAAAATCAGTTTATTGAAAATTACATTTTGTGAATTTCACATCTTATTTAATATTATTTCTTATTCTAATTACAAGTATCTTAAGGCAAATAATCAAGATAAAGAAAAGTAATTAATAAGGTTACTTTTAATTTATTCTATCATAAATTTAAGTTTTATTTTAAGTACACCCTTTATTAAGGGATTAGTGTATTTAATGTTAGTTATAAGTGAATACATACATAATAAGAAATAAGGTTAATAATAAATAAAAGGTATATAAGAAATTTAACCTAAATTACTTAAAAAATTAATGACTATTGCTTATAATTAAGAGTAAAGAAAAATTTAATTTGTTGCTTATAATTAAGGTCGAAAGTAGGAAGTTTCTTCTGATTTAGTAACAAGACTACTAAATTTTTTTTATTTTCAACAAATAATAGAAAGTATTATTAGCAAGTGAGTGTTAGAATGAATGTGGATAGTATTTTTCTTTGAAGAATATTCATTTGAGAATTCTAATTCAAAAAATTGGTTATGATAGTGCACTCAAGGGTATCAATGTATCTGGACCATTACCCGATGAATTTGGAAATCTAACTCATCTGAAAATACTGTAAGTTTTATAAATTCTTTTTCTCTCTTACTTTTCATGCATGTTCACAATGTTGTCACTGTCAAAAGATATTGAATATAGATTAACCATAAACTTAATTGTTATAGGTGAATTGACATAACATTAGTATGCATTCTAGTTCTTTCATATGAAAGTGAAACATTATTAACTTCACCAAATGCAAAGGAATCTACATAGAAATAACTGAAACTTTTATACTGAGCAGTGATCTCACTCGGAATTATCTCAATGGCTCAATTCCAAAAAGTCTTGGACGCCTCTCTTCACTTGTCACTCTGTAAGTCATCACTACCTTTGCATCTTTGTTTTTTTATCTTGCTTGCTCTGTTTGTAACTGTGAGGCATTTTCTTCATTTGTTAACTGAGATTGAGAGTGGTTTTCTATTTTTACCGAGTTTAATTTTCATACATGGTAAGTATACAGATTTTTAGTTTTTCACACATACAACTAATTAGAAATCATCACCACAGAAGTGTCTTAATATATTAAACAACCTATAACTGGATGACGGCATAAAAAACTTTTATACTAATAGATTAATAGTGCATTGAGTTATTATTTTTTTTTTCCCAAGTGGGGTTTGTACGATTTGCCATGTAACATAATTCAAATCTTCAATGCACAATTGTTACCTTGTTTCAGATCACTTTTGGGAAATCGACTTACTGGTTCAATTCCCCCAGAAATTGGTGATATGGCTAGTCTGCAAGAACTGTAAGCGTTTGAGAAAACTATGATGTTAATTGATTAACATTGGAGGTGGAATAAATATATTTGTAATCCATGTTCACAGGAACTTAGAAGATAATCAACTTGAGGGAACTCTTCCCCCGAAGCTTGGAAATATGAAAAACTTGGAGAAATTGTGAGACCATTTATTTCATTTTAGTAACTTTATTTGGAGTACATTATCAATTTCAATCATTAATTTGTCTCTTTGATGCACAAATTATCTACAATTTCAATATTTCATACTGTTTACTCATGCATGTCTACCTCCTTTTTTTTTCTCACTTTTTTATCTAAATGAATCTGCAGACTTCTTTCTTCAAATAATTTCACAGGGACAATACCAGAAGCATATGGAAAACTAAAGAATCTCGCTCAGTTGTGAGTGACATGATGTGATACAATTTCTTTTCCTCATTTTATGTCTTTGTTGAATTGTGAAATAACACAACATTTTCTGCAGTAGGATAGATGGGAGCAGTTTATCTGGGAAGATACCTAGTTTTATTGGGAATTGGACCAAACTTGATAGATTGTGAGTCCCAATCTTGATTCATCCATAACATCTTCTATGTTGAAGAATGAAATAATATTTTACTATCATATCATGCTTAACTTGCATTGTATTATCTGAGAAAATTTTCTTTTGGTAGGGATTTGCAGGGCACATCCTTGGAGGGCCCAATTCCTTCTATCATATCTGACTTGACAAGTTTGACAGAATTGTGAGTAGTTTCTCCTTTTAAGAAATTCCAGATTATTACATTTTGTCTGCATTTTAGGAATGCAATTTTCAATCAAGTTCTGCTCAAGGATAAAGTTGCTAAAGCTTAAGTTTTAGATCTACCGACAAAAAAAATATTGTTATTAGTTTTTATAAAGTAAAATGGTCTCCTATGTTTGCAAAAAGACAACATATATCTTTGTTATTTAAAAAAAATATATATCTCTCTTAAAATTTACTTTATATTTTTGGGTCGCTATATAGGAACTTTTCATTGATTAAGCATTTATATATCAGGAGAATATCTGATTTGAAGGGACCAACTATGACATTTCCTAATCTGAAGAATTTGAAACTCTTGATAAGACTGTGAGTTGAAACCATCCCTGCTTTTACCTGAAGAACAATATAATTCACTCAGGCTTTTATCATTTGATTTATATTTATTTCTGTAACCCAGGGAATTGAGAAATTGCTTAATCACTGGTCCAATTCCAAGCTACATTGGAGAAATAGAAAACTTAAAAATTCTGTAAGTTTCATCAAGGGTATATTACTGGCTATATATGCTTTAAGTTGTTTTATCTACTTGTTTACCAATCTCATTATTATCTATTTACATGTTTGGTTTAACGCCTACAAGGTAAGATCCATTCCACGACAATTAAGAAGCAAAAAAATCTAGCTTATGCGTCTTTCCAATATTTGGACGTCAAAATCTCATCACACAAACACATCTTGGACGTGCAAGCAAGCCCACACTTAATTTTATTTTTCAAACACATAAAAACAAGAGACATGTGAGTCTGCTTGATATATTTCTCTTATCTGGCCCTCACTGAAATGCTAGTATAGTAGTAAAGAAATCTCAGTTCTGTTTTTAATCCATAGGAATTGAACTTGGTATGAAAGAAGTTACAACAATTCATGCTCACTGTTCAACCAACTGAGCTAGACACCTTTGGTAAAGGAATTTGGTATCACAATGGTTAATGAGAGAAGTTAAATCATCACAAAATTAAGGATTTAGAAGTCACTACTTTGATTCCTTTATTATCTTCAAAGTTATAAATATTTTTCAAGACTTATTTTTAGATACTCTTCAGCTGTTTGTATAGTGTTTGAAAAGCTACTTTTGAACCATTGAACCAAAATCATTACAAATGGGGACATGTTCTTTTAGGTGATTGAGATTTGTTGGTTAGTTGGTTAGTTGAACCAGTAGAATGATAGTGTACAAAAACTAGGATGTGTGTATAAATTTTAGTATGCATCATCTTAGCAAATTATCAGCAATACAGTGTTCCAAAATGGCAGCAAAGAGAAAGATATTAAAAAATTATTGGAAACTTGAAATTACCTCTCCTTACATTCTCTTGTTAGAATTTTGCTATGGCATGTGCTATTACTTCATCATAGTAATCATCTCTTTTATCCTTTCAGAGATCTGAGCTCCAACAGGCTGACTGGTCCAATCCCAGATTCATTTCAAGACTTGGGAAAATTGAATTACTTGTAAGTGAACATTTTTATTCTACTTCCTGCAAATAATTTGATCTCAAGAATGCTGGTTACTTTTTCTTAATTAATTTTCCTCAGTGATATAATGAGACATATGTTCATGATGGATGCAGCTTTCTGACTAACAATTCTCTAAGCGGACGAATTCCTGATTGGATAGTGAACTTAAAACAGAATGTGTAAGCATATTTCCTTGAATTTTTTCCACCGCTTTAATTGCATACTTTAGGCTCACTTGTTGAAATTTAGCTTATACTATTCTTATGCTTAGTCTTGAGCACTCATTGAATTATGAAATTTAATCTCACTCTATGTTCTTTCAGTGATTTATCTTTGAACAATTTCACAGAGACTTCTGCATCTAGTTGCCAGATTTTGGATGTGTAAGCTTCTTATTGTTTAAAAATTATTTAAGCATTTCATCTATATCATTACTAATTATGGTATTATTATTGAACAGGAATATAGCTTCCAGCCACTCTCCCTCAGCAAACACTTCGTATGTTCCTTCTTGTGTTCTAGTTTTAATTCTACATCAGCTTTGAATCATCTGTTGAAACTAACTTTCTATATTGTAGATTATCTTGTTTGAAGAGGAACCTACCTTGCTCAGGAAAACCCCGGTGTGAGTGTCTCTAGACTCAGAAAATCGATCATGTTTTCATAAACTATAATGCCTTTGTAAATGAAATTATGATTGTTTCATTTTGAAGAAACATGAGTGAGAGAATTTTTTTTTATTTTATTTTTTTCCTACTTTTCCATAAGTTATTCATTTTTAATAAAATATGTTTTTAGTCTCTTGAATTTAATATAAATATATTTTTGAATTCTCAAATTAATCTTTCTAATTTCAAAAATTCTTGTTTTAACTCCTTAAGTCACTAGTAACATGACTAAAAGTAACAAATTGAGACGGCTAATAAGAATTAGTTGATTTTAAATTTTTAATATAATATTTCTTTTAAATAGAAGACTAATAGATAAATTTTGTGTGATAATATTTGACATATTTGTTAACGATATTTAAGCAGAAGGGTGACAATAATATTTTTTAAAAAATTACAGAAAAAATCAATTTTTAATTTGAAGAATCAAAATAAATTTACCTAATATTAATAAAATCATATTTTAAGTGTTTTTTTTTTTTAATATGTGGTTCACTTACACCATGTCCCTGCAGTTCATTCACTGTTCATAAACTGTGGAGGATCTGCAATAAAGTCTGAGGGCAATGAATATGAAGCAGACCCCAGTCTACGTGGCATTTCAAACTTTGTTGCTAGTGATAGTGGCAAATGGGCTTATAGTAGCACCGGAGTATATCTAGGAAATGAAAAAGCTGATTATGTAGCAAAAAATCAGTTTTCTTTGAATATTAATGGCCCTGAATACTACCAAACAGCCCGCATGGCCCCTGTGTATCTTAATTACTATGGCCTTTGCATGCTGAACGGCAATTATAAAGTGAAACTTCATTTTGCTGAGATAGTGTTCTCTAATGACCATAACTTCAGCAGCCTTGGGAAGCGTGTATTTGATATTTCAATTCAAGTGAGTAATGAAGCAAACAATTTGTTGTTACTTTTTATTCCTTCTAAAGTTTTACTCGTATTTTATATCTGGTTCTCCCGATAAAACAAGAGTTCTGAAGGTAGATATCTACATTACTGTGTATTGACAGGGTATTAAGTATTTGAAAGATTTTAATATTGTGCAAGAAGCTGGTGGAGTTGGTAAAGGAATCACTAAGGAGTTTAAAGTGGATGTCGATAACAACACCTTGGAAATCCAATTAGCATGGGCAGGGAAAGGAACTAATGCCATGCCTATAAGAGGTGTATATGGACCTCTTATATCTGCCATCACTGTGACCCCAAGTAAGTAGTTTTCAAATATTAGTTTCCTCTAAATTAAATACCTTGGCTCTGTTTACATAAACTTATCCAAAAATACTTATAAGAAAGAAAAATATGAAGGAAAAATGAAATAAGCTAAAATTAGTTTATGCATAAGTTAATTATAGAAGTTCTTTTCTATTAACTTCTTCAAAATTTTATTTTTAACTCATGCATAAGCTAGTCTTAGCTTATAGAAAAGCTTATTTCAGTTTTTCTTCTTATTTAGCTCTCCTTGAAATGCTTCTAAAGAAGCTTATCCAAACAAACTCTTTGTCTTTTCATGTTCTGTAAGCATTTCCACTTTGTTGTAGACTTTAAAGTTATTAGACATGGGCTGACTACTCGAACAACTGTTGGAATTGTGGCTGGGGCATGTGCGATTGTCATATTGATACTCTTTGCTCTTTGGAAGATGGGTTTCCTTTGTAGGAAAGATCAAACAGACCAAGGTAAGATTTAAGTCCAAATTAAGCAGGCAGTTTCTGCCCTTATGATTTGGAATACAAGGTTCAGATTGGTTTGAAGTCAAACATGATGAATATACTTCTATCATAATCTTATAATGTAGTAATAGGTATGACTTTTATCTAACTATTAATATTAGATCATACAACAACATAAAATTTACTGCAAAGATCCAAATTATGGTAATTTTACGTTAACAGTTGGTTTCTCATAAAAAGAATTCTCCGATTTCTGATTTCTTTTTCTTTTTAATTTATAAGTTTTTTTTAATCTGAGTACCTACATCTACCTTGTTGCAGAACTTCTAGGTCTGAAAACAGGTTATTTCAGTTTAAGACAAATTAAAGCTGCTACTGATAACTTTGATCCAGCAAATAAGATAGGTGAAGGAGGTTTTGGACCAGTATACAAGGTATCTTTGGATACATTATTATTATCTTAAGCATTATGAAGGCTTTGAAATTAAAGCACTATTTTTATAAATGAGAACATGGCACTAAAGGACATTGCTATTCACAGGGTGTACTGTCAGATGGTGCTGTGATTGCTGTTAAGCAACTCTCCTCGAAATCAAAGCAAGGAAATCGGGAATTCATCAACGAAATAGGCATGATATCTGCTTTGCAGCATCCAAATCTTGTGAAACTTTATGGCTGTTGCATTGAAGGAAACCAGTTGCTGCTAGTATATGAATACATGGAGAACAATAGTCTTGCTCGTGCACTTTTTGGTAAATGTCTCATGCGCATCTTTTGTTGTGTGTACCCCTACCGAGTTAAAATCTAACTGAAAATATTAACTCTTCTTTTGTAGGTAAAGAAGAACAGAGGATGCACTTGAACTGGTCCACAAGAATGAGGATTTGTGTGGGGATTGCAAGGGGATTAGCTTATCTTCATGAGGAGTCAAGGTTGAAAATAGTACATAGGGATATTAAGGCAACCAATGTGTTACTGGATAAGCATCTCAATGCCAAGATATCTGACTTTGGTTTAGCCAAACTTGATGAAGAAGAGAATACACATATCAGCACAAGAATAGCTGGGACAATGTTAGTACTATGCCATAGCAGCCTAAACTTAATCACAATATATCTGTTGCTTGCAGTTATATTCATTTAATTAAACATAGAAATCCATATATTTCATTGTTTTGTGAAATCACTGACACAAGGGTACTGAATGTTCTCTTATCAGTGGTTACATGGCTCCTGAATATGCCATGCGTGGTTACTTGACCGACAAAGCAGATGTATATAGTTTTGGAGTTGTAGCTTTAGAGATTGTTAGTGGAAAGAGCAACACAAATTATAGGCCAAAGGAAGAGTTTGTATATCTCTTAGATTGGGTAAGTGACACTTTTGTGAGGCTTTTTTATTATATTTCAATATTTTCAAAATGTTTTTCCTTTTTCATCCATATCCAAGTTTTCATCCCATTAATCTCCTACTATAATAAGGATTGAAGATAATTTTATACATTAAATAAAAGTAGACATTATTATACTTCTCTTTACTTATATTATGCTTTCTTTTCTTGTTTCCTAGTGTTATGGTTTGGTTGAATTTCTAATACTATATGTTGCATCTATTTGAAGGCCTATGTTCTCCAAGAGCAAGGAAACCTTCTGGAGTTAGTGGATCCAAGCCTTGGTTCAAAGTACTCCAAAGAAGAGGTAATGAGAATGCTTCATTTGGCACTATTGTGCACCAATCCTTCTCCCACACTTAGACCACCTATGTCATCGGTAGTGAGCATGCTTGAAGGAAAAACTCCAATTCAAGCACCAATAATCAAACGCAGTGACAGTGCACAAGATGTAAGATTCAAAGCCTTTGAGATGTTATCACAAGACAGCCAAAGTCATATTTCTTCTGCATACTCACAAGATAGTATAGAGCAAAGAAGCAAATCAATGGGGGGACCATGGGCTGACTCCTCCTTATCTATTCCAAGTATAATCGATTATTCTTCAACCAATAAACTTGTTCCAAGTTCCAATGACGTGTGATTTCCTAGTTGGGGAAGTTGACTCATTGAACTCAAATTCTTGTGTAAAGGATATAAATAGTAACCATTCAGAGAATCAGAGTTATAGCAGCATACATACAAAAATTTGGTGTTGAAGTCAAACATCAAATTTCAAGTGTATAGAAGATTTTTCGTTGTTTAATATATATGGAGGTTTTAAGGCATTTCATGTGTTAATCTTATGTTAATGGCATTCAATTTGAGTTCCACCCCAACTGCCTTGATTTCTTAGGCATTAAATGACCTCCATGGTTATAGCTAAATAAGGTTCAATTTATATCATATAAAACAATAAATACATGATTTTGGGCGGATGTTATTTTTTGTTAGACTTGGATGATTGAGGTATGTATGGTTACAATTTTGAAACTCGTAACTGATCTCGAATCCGAACGCAGTACTTACAAGTAAATCTCAATTGAATCAAAATTAGAAGATTTTTTTTCTTAAAATAGTTTAAAAAATTAACTCAACTTTCTAAAGATAGGATCACAAGCTTAAAAGTTCATCAAAATCTAGAAAAAGAAAATGAGTATAAGCTTAAAAATAAAGAAAAATTAACACCTTGAATTATGACTGCTAGAAATTTCCATAAGTAGGGAGGTAAATAAATCGTGTAGAAAATAGCCAAAAGAGAATACACCGGATTTCATGATGGATATGGTGTTGCTGAGTCAGAAAAATAGATGATGACTTAAAACTATGACTCATGTTTAAGAAACAAAAGAATCATCTTATCACTTTCGAAACAAATTTTGGAACTCATTGGGGAAAAAAAATTTAGAAATGAGAAAAAGAAGTATGTGCCTACTTGCAAGAAATGGCTACAGCTTTGGGGCCATGAACATTATTAGTAATTTATGAAGAGACAAATTAAAAACATTATTACATTAAAAAACAAATATCATTCATTTTAAAATATTTTTCAAATGCTCAAACTGCAGTCACAAACGGAAAGAGTAGTCAATTACATCAGCTGGTTACTCTTCAAGCTTCTTTCTGGTGATAATTGACAGGTTTATTTTATAATGTCTGATTTAGAAGCCATGAGCACGGCAAGTTTGATGATAATCAGAGGATCTTACACCCAAATTCACGACTAATTTTCCATTTCATGGCTAAATAATTTTGTACAAAGGAAAGATCCTTCCCAAATAATAACCATTCGACTACGAATATTACGACTAATCTAAGCAAAAAAAATAACAATTAGAAGTACTCCCACAACTCAATTTGAATCTAACTTTTTATAAGTTACGCCTGCAAAATAATTAGAAATTCAATAAGTACACCCGGTTCCAAAATGATTTGAACCGAACCATAGAAAATGACAGACTATTACACTAGCAGCCAAGACAGGATTTTGTATTCACATAAAGATGGTAAGCTTTGTTGTTAGGAGTTTCTTTTTTTTAATTCCCTGCAAGTACTGTCAAGGAACCATACCTATGTACACTTCATGCAAAATATAAAACAGATGGTACCAAACACATGAACTCTATCAAAACTCAATGCCACTATTTAACTGAACAGAGAAGGAAGGGCGCCCAACAGTGGAGAGAGGAACATCGACTCTTAGAACCAGACCTGAGTTCCCTACATTCCCATTCCATTTTGATCTTCCAATCTGTAACACAACAAAAAAATGAGACAACCCATTTAGATTATGATACATAAGCACTCTCCTTTCACAATGAACTTTGAAAAATAATAATCAACAATTAGTGCTGACAAAAGTCTACAATGGCAATAAAGCATGAAATAATCAATATTGATAAGCATTCGTGAATCATGATCCCTGTTCTGAGATTTCCACCTGGAATAGTAACTAAAAAATAAGAACCTGAAAGATCCGAGTATGCCAATTTTATATTACCTAATACATATTAGACATTTAGACTCACATTGGCTCCCAACCATAGTTCTATCATAATCATGTTTTTAAAACATTAGAAAACATCCAAAATGGATCTTGTATAATTCAATTATGCTCATTCAGCAACAACTTACAGATACTGAAGCAAATGCAGAAGGATATGTCATGAAAGCACATCCACAAATCAGATTAAGTTGCTCTTTAACTGAATGAATGAGTTCTGCTCGCAACCCTGGATTGCTTCCGCCAAGTGTAGGACAAACACTGACCACATAAAATATAACATGAGATCAGGATGTATGAATGATTAGATACAAGAAAATTTGAGACAATAATGAAGTACAACAAAAGATTAGTTACATTTGTATTAAGATGCATTGGAAATATTTAGACAATTAGTGCATGTTTAGATTTGCATAATTTGCATGGGTCAACAGCTTTCTATTAAAAGATCAAGCTCCCAGTAAGATTTTGATTAAAATTTAATTTGAACACAAACTAATCCAAATACCCACTTATTGATTGTGTTATTAGAATAAAACAATAGTCTAATCCCAATAAGTAAGATCAGCTCGATGGGTCACACGACACCATTAGACTCAGTTAAGAACCAAATTCTCACAGATATTATTCACCATAAGATCCCTATTAATAATTTCCACCTATATCCTTCTTGGTCTCCTTCTATCCCTTTACACAAGGCTGAAAACCACATGATCATTACATTATGTGGTATTCAGAAAACTAGGAAGTTACATTACATATCTGTAATTCATGTTTGTAAAGTACATCTTAAATTAAAGAATAGAGCATGGCAGGTTACACAGTCCAATACTTCCTCTATCAGGCTTAAAATTAAGAAGAAAAAAAAACTTTAAAAGCTTTTTTTCTCTCATGAGTGAAACCATCAAACTGCACTGCATTCTTATTTATTTCAAGAGTGAACTATGCTTTCAAAACTATAGTGAACTTGACTCAAACACTTTGAATTTTGCAGCAAAAAAACCTATCCATACTTAGAGGAGACAATTTTATAATTTTTATCTACATTGGAAAAGTTCAATCTGAATGTTGATGCGGTAGACAAGCATCCACATCAAATATCAACTAAGTGAAGCAGAACAACTATTTTCTTCACAATAGCATTTATGAAAGTGCCGTGGCAAACCCATGATAATCACAGCACCACCATCACTTTCCCCTGCCCCAAAACAAAAAACATAAAATAAGGCACAAAAGGATTGTAACATCTTACCTGAATTGAACGGATGGCCTCACCATAAGACCAGATCGCTTCCAGGCCAACGCTTGAGCAAGACCCAAAGAAAACGATTTGTCGGGCCACTGTACCATCGGTGTGATTCTTGTTCCCCACTTGTTCTATGAAAACAGGAGAGTAACCAATATTAGTTCCAATGCACAAGGAAATCAGTTTAAGCTAACATATAGTGAACATTAAACATCATTTCATCAAAGCCTTCAATAACTTGGATTCTAACCTTGCATGAAAAGCTGAATCTCATTTCCCCAGGATATTGACCCTGCGCTTGAAGAAGACCTCCACAAATAGGAAGGAATGCACTGGTACTTAGACCCTCACCAGATACGTAGGTTAATTGCCCATTAGGGAATTGAAGATCCACAAATGACTGGGTGCAGAAAAATAAGAAGATGATGATATGAAATTTATTTCAGGGTAATTAAACAACTAGACAAACATAAATCTAATTGACTTAGCCACACGATTGCTCATGTACAAAAAGTAAATTATATTCTATCCAAATATCGAATCCAGTATTTTATGCATAAAGAAATGATCTCAGTCAAAATTAATGGAATTTAGGTAGAGGAAAAGAGAGTAACAATATACTATTGATAAATGATGTGCAGTAATATGCTAAAAGATACAAAAAATAAACCCCTATTTAGTATTTATACTAATATTAAACTCATAATTCTAATTAAATAAGGATCATCTAAGCCACCATAAAATATAGCAAGATAAAATATCTACATATTCTCAGACGCTCCATTAACTTACACAAGCTATGGGATTCAGGCAAAGCATGGACATTAAAAGCCACCTTCTGTGTTTTGACCACACTGCTGGACAAAGAGAATGCATTCCATTCTGACAATAAAAAAAATGATCGAGTAAGATAATAAAAAAGCTAAATTTGGGTGGGAAGCACTACATGGAACATCCACATGCAATATTACACAGAAGATGGATAATAAATAAGCAATTCTAGACAATAACTAAATACATTTATCATGTAAGAGAGTAATTTCAACAAGAAAAAGAAGGCATACAAACTATACTGTAGTTGCTGCTTCCTTAACAAAATACATGCATAAATTATTATAATCTTCAAGATGAATACCTATACTAACATGGGCATCATCTCAGTATACTTTGCAATAGATTGGAAAGGAAAACTAATTAACAACTCAATGAGCAAATAGTGTTCAATGATCAAATGCATATGATACAGGTTATAGAGCCCACATACTCAATAAAGCAAAAGTATAGGTGTCCAACTTGTATTCGATACTGGCAACACATCTTATGCATCCCAATGTGTCCAAAACATACCAATTAATTGTTTTATTTTTTAAAAAGAAAAATACTTGGTACAGCTATGATATGGATGAGAATTTCAGGGTATAACTTCATCAATTTAGGGTATGACTTCATATCAAGTAGACACGAATTGTAAATTTTATTGTTAAGTTTCTTTTACCTTTACCTTATAATCCAATGTTACCGTGTAAGTTGTTCAAAATAGTGCAACAAAAAGGAGTCCCCCGCCACTTCTAGGGCTTGCAAACAACAGACACGATACCAAATGCATCATCACAGGTAGTGAATAGGCAATTCTATAGAGCCAAAAGTTCTTTTGCGCAAGACTAATGATGTTTTTGTGCTATTCTAACTTGGACAGGGAAATTGTCTATCTAGTGACATGTCACAGTAGAAAAAATACATTATAATATATAGGAAGAGGACAACCTATAAAAGTTTTTTTCTAACGAGTGTCCAACACAATGCCCACACGGTTGCTTTCAAGGATAAAAAGCAAAACACAATATCCATGGGCATGCTTTATTCCCCTTCCCTATTATATTACTAATTTTGTAGCAAAATCCAATTTAGCCAGCTGAATCTCATCTTTACCTTTCTATCGTAGCCATACCACAGCAAGTGCTGCTTGGACAAATGAACAGGGAGGAGAAGAGTTGAATCACGAATAAAGAGAAGAGGTCCAAGCTGAACCAGGAAAAGGGATGAATTTTCATTTCCAGATGTAGAACCACCATGCGATGCCTCTACTCTCCACAAATCTCCCCTTGCAACTAAAGAACCTTCCACTTCTTGAGTTCTACTATCATAAGTAGATGTAAAATTTATTATTCCCTGTACATGAAAAAATATAACCAGTAAATGAAACAGATAGAGGAAGGATGCGTACAACAGAGGAGAAAAGAGAATTTAGCCACACAAAATACAGATTAAAGAGCCAGCACATTTTTTACATACATTTCAAAATAAATGTTGAAAATAAGAAATCTTTCCAAACAAACAATCAAATTTTGAAAGCTAATTGGCTATATTAAACTGTCCCGTGAAGGACTCAATATAAGTCTGATCCACAAGGTAGATCATTTTTCAAGTGGAGATTCTAACTGAACAACAAGATCAACACTGTTGATATGCTTGATTGCTAACATGATCAATGTCATAATCAAATATTTTACTCTGAACTATTAAGTACAAGTAATCATTATTAAAATTTATAAAGTTTTATATAGCAGGGAAATTTGTGGGCTTTGGAAAGAATAAATTTTAAGGTCCAGATTTTACAAATGATAAAGTAAGGAATCATTTGTTAAAGTCATCGTATTTCTTTATCTCTAAAGTAGGACTTGTGCAACTATATTAATATCCCAAGATGCCACTGCACCTCACCCATCATGAATCCCAAAAGAAATTGTTAAGCAATGAAGAGAAAACAACTCCAGTGCAAAATCATGCAGGTTAGCAATCCTCTGCGGCTTCCTCTTACAATAACATAACAAAGACCAAGGACAGACCATCCTCATAATAATATTTAACACCACAATCTCACCAACAAAGGCACAATCTAATCAGAACAATAGCCACTTGATCTCAGACAGAATAAACTTTAAGAAATAACAACTGTTTCTTCTGCACATGAAGCCAGAATTTCACAGTAAACCATAGCAAGCAATCACTTCAACAGCTCTTTTACAATCATAAATGCTCTCCTCCCATTACACAACAACTGTTTTTCACACTCCATCAGTAAGCAAGCAATTAAACAACACCAGTTAATCACTCCACACCAACAATCAATCAGCAAATCAACAAAACCAAACATATAATCTTAAATAACATCATACACAAAGCAAAACCCACACCAAGTGCTTTTACCTGTCGCCTGCCCAGAAGACCGATAGACCCAAGGTTAAACCCACCAGCAGCAGCACCACCGCTGCCACCACCGCCACCAACCTCTTCCTCCGCACTTCCACCTCCACCGCCACTACCACTAACACTCTCAGCAAACCCATGATTCTTCAACCTCTCACTAAGTGACCCCAACCCCAAATCCTCCTGCACAACGAGCCCAATCCCTCCTCTCTGCCACCCCTTATCCCCAGCCTCCACCCTCACCGAACTCTCCTCGTGCTTGAACGGCACCGGCACCGGCAACGAGCGGAAAAACTGCTGAACCAGCCCATTCAAGCTAGCCCCAAAGTCCGCCCCAGCCTGGCCTATCCGGCTACCGATGTCGAAAATCGCGGACACCCCATTTATCCCATACTCCTCCGTCGCCAGCGCGAAATCCCTCTTCCCGAAGCTCTGCGACGGAAACTCCAGATCGAAGAGCTTCGACGTCGGAGGATTCGGCCACGCAAACTGCGGAGGACTCATGTGCGTCTGGATCAATCCACTGAAACCCTGGGCAAGCCGGTCAGCTAGGTCCTGCCCGTGACGCTGCACCTCTTCCCAAGCCTCAAACGACCTCTCCACAGACATTTTCCTCTTCTCTCCAACCACAAACCTCGCTAATCGCTAATTCTTCATAAGCTCTAGGGTTTCACTTATACACTCACAAATCTAATCCAAAAAAAAAAAAAAAAAAACAAATCAAACCTTCAAAACTCAGTCTAAACCTAACTCTATTTAATCTAAAAATAAACTCATATGATTTAGGGTTTTAATCGAATCAGAGCTATAAGAGAAAAATCTGAATTCAATTTTTATCTAAAATAAAATATTGATTCAGATTTTTACGCAATAAAATTTTAAAATAAACGAATCTATGAACAAAATATTTGGTTAATGAATTTGGTAAGAATAGTGAAATTGAAGGGTCTAAATAGTGTTAGGTAGGGTGGTGAGGTGAGAAGTGAAGTGAAGTGGTTAAGGGAGGCGTGGGTGAGACATGGTGAGAGCGGTAAAAGGGATGCGCGGGATGCGCAATGCGCACCTGGCATGGTAGAGCGACACGTGGCGTGGGATTTGGTGTTGTGGTGTGGTGTGGTGTGGATGAGGGAGGACCAAGATTTTATTTGAATGATAAATGATAATGATGAAGGAATGGGGAATGGGTCGCCTGAAAAAATAAAACAAATGGCACTGCCAATCACAACACGTCAACTTTCCACACATTTCCCCCCACCACCACGGTCCACACCATCTAACTCAATCTCCTCATTTCATAGATTTTTTTTTATTAGTGCGACAAAAAATATCCTCATCAATTATATTCATTTTTTTTAAATATATTTTTTATTTTTTAAATTTAGATAAACTTTTTTCTATTCTTTAAATTTAAAATTATTATTTTTAATTTTTTTAATCTATTAGATAATATTTAATAACTTTTAAATAATTTTAATTATTTAATAATTAAAAATATTGATATTTTTATATTGATTTTGAAAGAAAAAAGAGAGGTAAAAGATAAAAAGAGAAAAAAGAAAGCGGAAGAAATGAAGATAAAAGAGAAATAGGCAACCCCAAGCGTGTGGTTCAGCGGTAGGGGTTGATCCACGCTTAAGCAAGGTCAGAGGTTCGAATCCTGTCTTGTGTATGCACCCGCATTAAATCTTGAGGTCAGTTATCCCACCCTTTGAGGTGCCTCCAACATAGCGAGGAAATTAGTCACTACTATCGGCAGTGGATATTCTAAGGACGAACCAAAAAAACAAGATTTTAAATTATAAAGATTTTCTGTCGGCCCTGGATACTCCAGGGACGAACAAAAAAAAAAGAGAAATAGGCGATCGAGAGAGAAGGAAAAACAATATGAAGATATAGGTGAGATAGGGTAAAAAAATTTAAAATTCTTACTTTTTTAAAAGAGATGAAGAGAAGAGAGAAATAGGAGAGAGAAGGAAAGACAAAAAAAAAAATGAAAATATGTAGGTGTGATAAAATAGAAAAAATATGAAAATTTTGAAAATTTACAATTTTAGAAATTTTCATAAATAGTTGAATTTCAAATTTTTTTTATAAAAATTATTGATTCAAACAAATTAAAGCATCTAATCTCAAAATATTTAAAATTTTTCAAAGAAAAGAGTGAATTACTCTTAAAATTTCTTATCCTAATGTTTACTCTCATTGTACTATTATTTATGACAACTTAGTGAATAGGATGATAATGCTAAAAGCTTTTATGGATATGTAGGTAGATTTATATAAGAGAAGAAACAGTTCATGGTGACTTTAGAGTAAGTTATAAATGAGCAATAGCTGAAACAAATTGTTAGAAGAAATGAATGTTTCGAAGCTGGGGCGGGTCCAGATACCTTTAGAAGGAATCCAAATTTTTTCCTTGTTTCATAATTATTTGAATATGTATCTGCTAATAAATAATTATTTAACATATAATGTTTTTATTTATTTATAAATATTTGTGGTTTTACACAGAAAATTAAAAGTAATTTTTATTTTCAATAATTAAAAAATATTTTTTTAAATTTTTATTAAAGATTATTGTTAAAATTTCTACATATTATAATTTATACTACTTTTTTCTTGTTTCAATTTTTTTTACAAAACTCTTTAATTTTACGAAATAATCAAACAATTTATAAAGAATCATGGGCCAAGGCCCACCCGTTTTAATATGAAAATTGGAAATAAACCAAAATTATCAATAAAGAAGCACGGGCCCAGCCACAGGCCGTTTGAATTAAAATATGAAAAATGGAAATAAACCAAAATTATCTATATTCTAATATAATGTTTTGTTTTAAAATTTCTACATTATTCATATATCTTAATTAATTTAGGATTTTTTAGTTTCAAAATATGACATATATATAGTGAATAGTTGACAATTAATTTGAAATTATATTAAAATTTAGACTTACGTTTTTATGAAGTTTTTGAACTTGTGTTTAATTAATATAATTTAATAAATCTATTTCAAATTACATTTAAAATTTTATTAAATTATTTTTTTTTATGTTGAAACGTTTATGTATTAAAAAATATGAAAATAATTTAAACTAATTTAAGCTAGATCGAATCAGATCAGAAGATTTATATAATTGGGGGAAAAATGTGTATAATTATAAGGAATTCAACTAAATTTGATAAAGTGACTTTTCAGTTTTTGCCAAAATCAATTAAAAAAATGGATTGAAATTTATGACCAAAGGTTAGTGATACCATGAATAAGCACAGTGACAGTGGGATAGGAAACAGGACGAGGAGCAGAGTGATTTCTGACACTGACATCAGATGATATTTCATTCCACATGCCCGCATCAACGTTGTTGTTATCTGCATCAGAGGATGTTTATATATCATGTGTGAGAATTTTTTTTTTTTTGGAAAATCAGATGATATTTTTTATTCTGTTTCTGTCACATGATATTAAATTTTGATAATCTATATATATTTCTATAGTTCAAGTCTATTCATTTGACTCTCATATAAAAATAAGCTTCTTAATTCTTATCTATCTATTCTAGTAAAAGTAATTTTCATTTTAAGAATGAAACGAATTGAAATTTATGATCAAAGATTAATTACTGAGAGTAGGGATGGAGATACTACAAATAGGGCGAGGAGTAGTGGCAGGAACGGAATGAGGAGCATGGTACGGTGTCATGACAGGCTGATTCTTCATATGGTTATGCTCCCAGCTGCCTGAAACACCAGTGCTGTTAATTCCTGCATGAATTCTAAACTTTCCAAAAGACTCAATAACAATTGTTAGAAATAAACATTAATATGATTTTAAGAATTGTAAATTATGATGTAACTCAATCCTAGATACAAAACTAGTGTATAAAGTAAGTATTATCCTCACTTATATATTTTAATCATATTATTAGTTAATTTTTACTTACAGAAAAGTTGGTGAAGAGACTTTCTTTTTGATTTTTTTTTTATATGGATTGGATCGAGATTTATGATAAAAGTTTAAGAGATAGATAGGATGGTGAAGAGAGGCTGAGGTTGATTCTCATGGTTGGATGAAACATGATTACCATTAGCAATAGCTGCATGAGATGAAAAGTGATTCCTCCTGACTGAATCAACGTTGTTGCTATGAGCTGCATCATAGGATGTTAGCTTGCCTTGAACAGAAGAAAGAATGTCTGCAGAAGAGAAATTTTGGCTGCCATCGGCTTTGTTGTTAAATGCATCACTTGTGTAGGTAACATGAACCACTTTTGTGGCATTCAGATGCAATAGTGAGGATATCCGACTCCGAATATTTTCCTTCTCCATGCTCACAAGTCACAACACTGTTTCAGTACTTTGATGTGACATGTTTCCTTATCATTGCGTTTATTTTATACATGAATAGAAAATTCATATCCCGTTAATGTTATTATTCCACTATTTGGCTTGGAAACCAAGCTAATAATATTTTATGTAAACCTACTTCGGAGTGGAGCATCCACTGCCCAATAATTTATCCATGCAACGTCTTTCTTTGTTTTTAATATTTTGCATATGCTCATTGGGTCACGTGTAGTAATTCAATAAAAGCCACCCCATAATATTGACTTCACAGCCAAACTTTACATCGCAAAAAAAGAACATGCATATATGAAAGATGTAAGCTATATATAATCAACTTCTACATTAATGATTAGTCATTAATTTGTTATAACTAAAATATCAGAAGATAACCGTGTTTTTTTTTTAATTAAGCACGTTCACAAAAGTTTGATTTTATGACCGTGGTTGTAAAAAAAATTGTTTAGAAAGATAACAACTTACTTTAATGATATTTACATCTTTGAAACAAAAAATATTTCTCTTTATTTTGTTGAGATTATAGAGAACCACTTTTCGTGCCTGTGAAATCCTAACTGCTTACAACTAAAAATAAAGTTTACAGATGTTACCTGCATGATTTCTTAAAGTAGAAAAATTCAATGTGTCTTAACACAGTGTTAGTTTTGCATGAGACAGAATATATGTAAAATCATCGGTGGGTGTGAAGGAGAAGAAGCGTGAAAGTGAAGTTGTCCAAATGAAAATGTATTAGGGCATAATAAGATTGCAATCTTGTGATCAAATAAAAAATGATGGATTCCCTCAAAAGGGGGGTTAGGAAAGAGGACAAGAAGGTATTGATTCTACTGAATTTCATCCTAATTTTTTTTAACTAATTTAAATAATGAAGTCATTAGGATATCACTTTTAAATTTGAATATATGTTTTCAGTTTATTTGGATATAAGAGAGAGAACTATTGTTTGCTATACTCTCATGTAGCCAATTTAGATATGAGTGAGGATATTAATACTCATCATTCGTTTGCTCCTGTGCAAAGTATATATAAAAGATATTACTGCTCTTCACCAAAAAACCAAAAAGATATTACTGCTTTTGATTGAGGTGTTTGATGGTCCACACTTAACTAGGAAAAGGTAATTATAACCGGGTTTAGTAAAGTGATTATATGGTATCACAAAAAATAATTTCGTTATTTTTAGTTTGTCGATAATTTTCGACAGATATATACTTTCATAGAAAATAATATCTATACCAACAGATAATCAGTATGAAAATATGACTGATGATCACCAATAGAATTTGTTGGTAAAACATGTTAAGTTTTCTGATGGGTATATTTGTCAGTAAGTATCAAAGATAAATATATTCATTAAGAATGATCAACTTAATTATCGACAGATTATATACTAGTAATTACTCAAAATTTGCTATCTGTTAAAGCTACTAATATATCATCTATCAGTAATGATCAACAAACTTTATAACTACTAGTTTTGTAAATAATCACCAAACTTCATTATCTATATAACCAATAAGTTATCCATGAGTATTATTTTGTCATTAATAATTTTTTATTTATTTATAAATTTATTAATTTAATTATTGTGCAATATCATATATGCCGGTGCAAATTAATAATATTATATAAATGAAACTTATATAAAATAAATTTAAAAGATCATGCTAATATTTATCATAGTACTTAGAATCTAATAGTACTTAGAATCCAACATATATAAATCAGTGTCAAACCATTCATAATTCAAAACATACTATAAAGTAAAACAACTATTTAAAAATGATTAAAATAACAAATAATAAATGTTTTTAGTACAAATGTGATAATTTTGTTGATTGTAATTGATAAATCACCTCCTCACTTTGTGCACGTCATTATCTCAATGTATTATATATGTGCATAACATAATATGATCATGAATAATAATTGAGTCATTTTTATAATTTAATATACTTGAAGTTTATTTGAATACAAGTTTAGAAGTATTTTTGAGAGTTTCTTTATTAAAAAGTATTTTTTATTTTTAATAGAGAAACTCTAAAACATACTTCTAACTTGTATATAAAAACTTGTATAAACTTTGACAAGAAAGGAGCTAAAATTCAATTTGCTAATAGATGGCTCCACCATGTTTTCTCCAATCTATTGTGGCCTCTTACATGTCCTTCAGCATCACTAAATGAATTAAATAATATATGAGAGGCTCTAGAACGAAAATTTCTTCATATCTAATCTTCATATTCAGCTCTCCACATCACCTTCCTCTACATGAAGAGAAAAACAAATTAATAATTTTTTTTTATATTTATTCAATAATAAACAAGTTGCTATAAATGTCACTGTAACTCTGTAACAACTTCTTATGTACAACTTTGCAGCAAAAAAGAATTCAACAAATAATAGTACCATAATTCAACACCCATTAGCAAAATACAACGGTCAAAATATAATTTAATTTTTACATTTAATTCGGCCAAGTCCCATTCTAATCATTACACAAAAGCAAAAAAGTTCAAAAAGCCAGGACACCATATATATCACTTATAGTCAATACACCAAATTCATGTAGTTAACATTAAAACTAGTATTTGTCAAAAAAAATAATATTAAAACTAGTATGGCGTGTGTGCTGTAACAGAATTTAATGCTTTCTAATCTTGTTTTGCTCCTTTTATCTATACAATCACGTACACCGAATGAGTTTCAATTTTAATACTATAACAGCTCAACAAACTAGACTAGCAACCTAGCATATAAAGATAAAACACACTTAAATGTTTCTACGAAGGATGGTTTATTAATAACACAAACCTTCTTTGGAATAAATAATACATGGTGCTTTTCGATCCCGTACGTGTGTGTCAGCGAAGCTGCAATGCTCCTTGAATATTTTTAACAGCGTTGTCATAGTGCACAAAGCCCAAAAACCAAAATTCATGGTCGTCAACAGAGATAATCTGTATATATTTTTCAGATGGATTGATCCTGCTTGTAGACGCGTTTACTGCTCTCAGCTGGTGCAATGGAATGACCACCTAATGCATGAGTGCAAGTATTTATATATAAACTACATATCATGATGGAAATATATAGGACAATGGATCGAAGTAAACATGTGTTAGGATCATCTTCTAGGAATATGAGAAAATAGATGAAAATTATGAACTACACATTGTTTAATAATATCCTGCATCTTTAGCAAGTAATCATAGAAAATAAGTCATTCACATATATCTACTATGTCCTATTCTATTATGTCACACGTCACACCTTTCAACCATTGAAGGAAGAGTGTTGGAGGTAGCTTTACCTTATAATAGGTCCATTGAGTGTGGTCATTCTCTTGGTAAGAAAGTAGGTTAGTACTACAAAACGCAAGCTTTGCAGTTGACAAATATAAGTCTCCCATGATAGGTCCAGCAGAGGTGGACAAGTAACATGCATAGATTTTCAGAAGCTGCTCTTCTAGAACCGTCTCAAATGTTTGCCTAAAGATATTCTCGTACCCTACTGCAAGAACCTTACTTTCCTGAGCGATCCTTCCCACAGTAGCATCAGCAAAACTCTCGGACCCGTTTTTACTGCTCCACGCAAAATTACATTAAAAAAACAGAAGAAAAATTTTGGGGTTAAATAAGTTTTTCCTCCTTAACTATTTTAAGATTCAATTTTCAGTCTTTTCAAAAAGTTTTGTCCACTTTTAATCTCTCATTTATTTTCCAACAAAAGAAAAAAGAAAAGAATGAGAGGAAATGAATACATACAGTGCTGCCACATATTGCCGGCCTTCTTAGTGGTCTCGGCGGCTTTCTTCCCCCATTTGCCGAGCACCGACTCTAAAGTAATAGCTGTAGGAGGGTTCCTCCTGACTGAATCAACGTTGTTGGTATGAGATGCATCAGAGGATGTTTGCTTGCCTTGAACAGAAGATAGAATGTCTGCAGAAGACAAGTTTTGGTTGCCATGGCCGTTGTTGAATGCATCATTTGTATAGATAACGTGACTCACTTTTGTGGCCTTCAAATACAACAGTGAGTATATCCGACTCCCAACATCTTCCTTCTCCATGCTCATCATAACATGCCTTTGTAATCATCACACTCTTAGTTTTGAGCCGTTAAATATATTTAATAGTTATTAGTGTTGGAGAGAGGCCGGAAAGAGAACATTGTCCAAATTCGAAATAAATAATGTAAAATCGTCAAGGAGAAGAAGCGTCACAGTGAATCTTGTAATCAAATATATAATAGTAGATGATGGATTCCCTTTCAATATTTCCAATACGATTGATGAATAAAATTGAGTGAGGATAAGAAGGTATTGATTCTACTAAATTTCAACTTATTTTTTTAATTCATTTTCGAAAAGACAGAGCTGGGTTTTATTATTTTCATACTTTTAAATCGGACCGGTTATCAAATCGATTAAAGTACTGGGTCAGTAAGTCAAAGGTTGAACTGGTGGGTCAACAGTGCTGCCACATATTGCCGGCCTTCTTAGTGGTCTCGGCGGCTTTCTTCCCCCATTTGCCGAGCACCGACTCTAAAGTAATAGCTGTAGGAGGGTTCCTCCTGACTGAATCAACGTTGTTGGTATGAGATGCATCAGAGGATGTTTGCTTGCCTTGAACAGAAGATAGAATGTCTGCAGAAGACAAGTTTTGGTTGCCATGGCCGTTGTTGAATGCATCATTTGTATAGATAACGTGACTCACTTTTGTGGCCTTCAAATACAACAGTGAGTATATCCGACTCCCAACATCTTCCTTCTCCATGCTCATCATAACATGCCTTTGTAATCATCACACTCTTAGTTTTGAGCCGTTAAATATATTTAATAGTTATTAGTGTTGGAGAGAGGCCGGAAAGAGAACATTGTCCAAATTCGAAATAAATAATGTAAAATCGTCAAGGAGAAGAAGCGTCACAGTGAATCTTGTAATCAAATATATAATAGTAGATGATGGATTCCCTTTCAATATTTCCAATACGATTGATGAATAAAATTGAGTGAGGATAAGAAGGTATTGATTCTACTAAATTTCAACTTATTTTTTTAATTCATTTTCGAAAAGACAGAGCTGGGTTTTATTATTTTCATACTTTTAAATCGGACCGGTTATCAAATCGATTAAAGTACTGGGTCAGTAAGTCAAAGGTTGAACTGGTGGGTCATAGTTGAATCGCATGACTCGGTTTTTATTTATTTTTATTAAAAAAATATTCATATTAAATATATTTTATACTTATAAATTTTTATAAATTTTTATTTTATTTTTAAATTTCAATTTCAATTTTTTAATCTTATTTAAAATTATTTTTATTTTTATTTTATAAAAAAATACATGTTAAACTGTATATTAATACAAATTAAAAATATAAATAATATGTACATATATAATATGTTTGCAATTGATATCACAAAATAATATATATAATATCTACATAGATATTATATTATTAAATATATAATTTAAAATTAATAATATGTTATAGAAGTTATTTAAGTTGTATATATTACAAACAAATACATTAGAACAAATAGTCATTGTTATATTTAATAAGACTCTTTGCTCTTTTATTAAGAGATTGAATTTTCATTATTATTTTTGTAGTTTATGGTCCCTTAAAAAAATTTAAAAAAAATAAGAAAAAAAGTAGTTGAACCGGTTTGACCTACCAGTTCACCAGTTGAACCGAAAAATTAACCGGTTCAATCCAGTTTGAAACGGGTCAATTGCATAACCGATCCAACTTAAGATTCGAACCGGCTGGACCACTGGTTTCCGGTCCAACCGGTCCGACCGGCCGATTCGATCCGAATTTTAAATCACTGATTATTTTTCATATGGCGCCAGACTTTACCGCCACTATTAGGCTCTTTTGTGTTGGGCTGGGATGGGCTGGACTTTTCTTCAGAGGTGGGCCCACACCACAAAATTTGATGGCAGATGATAAACACACCTCCACTCTCGTATAAACACACCCCCTTTTTAAAAAAATATATATAAAATGTCTAAATTACCCTTAAAAAAAATAAAATTCCTAAACTTACACCTCCCTTCCCCGTACCCCGTTCCCCGCACCCTACACCCCCTTCCTCGCACAACACTATTTTTTCTCATCACCGCCGCACAACACTATTTTTCCTCATCACCGCCGCACAACACTTCTCAAGTAAGTCACCTCCGTAACCTCCGCACCTCCGTAAACGTAACCTCCGCACACCGCTCACTGTAACACTTCTCTCAGCTCTAAACCAGGCCGGACTCCTCCCTAACTCCGCCAAGCGCCACCGTACGCTCTGAAATCTTCCGTCGTATCCGCCCTCTCCGCTTACGGCCTTCCGATCTGGTTTGTTCTATCTATCCTTTGCTCTGAACTGTGAAATTTTGGATTTAGTTCCCTTGATGCTGATTTTGGTTACGTCGATCCTCTTATGAGGAATTTCAGAGCATAATTCATTTAAATCACTTTAAACAGAGGGCAGATTTTTGTACGCCTGTTTTCAATTCGCATTTCATTTCTCAATTTATAGATCTTTTGATTGGGGTCAATGACGAGTAAAGGGATCGTAATTTCAATTTATACTGGAACGGAGATGTTAGGCTCAGTTAAAGCAGTAACCTGCTTGTGAAAAATTGACTTACAGGTAGAATAGATAGTTCAGTGATACCTAGATCAAGATGCCAATAAGTCATACACAAAAACACCGCCAATTGCTACTACATAAAATAGGCTCAGTTTTGTTGTTATTTTGTTTTGAACAGTCATGATATCTAATCACTCATGACAGATTTTGTTATTGAAAACCATAATATTAATTTTATCCATGTATATACCTATGGAGCATCAATGCATCACATAATTTTTGTGATAGGCACCAGATCAGAACCATGCAAACTGAGATATGTATCAAGTCGTGTAAGCTGACATCAACTTGATATCAAATCAACGGGGAAGGGAGGTGTAAGTTTAGGAATTTTATTTTTTTTAAGGGTAATTTAGACATTATATATATATTTTTTTAAAAAGGGGGTGTGTTTATACGAGAGTGGAGGTGTGTTTATCATCTGCCAAATTTGATTTATGAAGAATCAGACTAAAGAATTATATATTTTTTTAACTAACTTTTAGTTTTTACTATTTATATATGATCATATTGCTCAGATTTATAATTCTTATTTTTTAATGATAAACAAGAGTTTTGAGTTTTGACTTAAATATTTAGTGAAATCAAGGGTGTTAAAATGGTTTTGAGAATTCCATTATTTATTAGTGTCGTTAGGTCAATGAAACAGTATAGCTTTGAAGAATTCCTCTAAATTAGTTGAATAGAACATTAACCAAATAAACAACATTTGGGATTTTGCAACAATTAATTACAATCCCAACAATAATCGCTGTCTTTTAGCATCATATATAGAGTCAAAAGTCGCATTGGGTGATGCAATGACCAAAGTTGAATTCACATTTCACACCAACCCCAGCTAGTTACACCTATTTTTCTATATATCTATACTATAACATGTGACATGTTTTGGTTTTCTAGTTTTTGAGACATTATTCATGCTTAAAACGAGCACACAGTATAAAGATTTGTCCAAGACTTTTTGGAGTGTTAATTATATTTAAAACCATGATGTGTCAACTTCAAATTCAGAAGCATCAACCCCAAAGGAAAAAGAAAGAGAACGAATGAAAGAATAGTCGAAGGTTATTCATATAATTGACGATTAATTACTGTTAGAAAATCTATTTCATTATTTTTAATGACACATGGAATTTTAATAGGAGATATTAGATTTCAAGATGACCATCCCCTGCAAGTTGATCCAAATTTCAATGACTCTCATCATTTCAATTTTCATTGTCCAGTGCTTGGTTAGTTCACACTTATATGGATGCATAGTTGCATACCACGTACTGATCACATTTGAAAAGGAATTTCATGTTATGTTCTACTTTTACTTTACATTTATTTAACTCGTTATGATAATTTCTTTTAAAAAAATGTGTTAAAATAATTTAATGAGATAACATTACTGTGATTGTAATATTGTATAGATAAATCTAACGTAATTCATATGAAAAAAATAATTTAACGATATAACATTACTGTGTTAAAATAATTTCTTTTTTAGATTGTATAGATAAATCTAACGTAATTCATATGAAAAAAATAATTTAACGATATAACATTACTGTGTTAAAATAATTTCTTTTTTAGATTGTATAGATAAATCTAACGTAATTCATATGAAAAAAATCCTAATATTCTCTTATGATTTAAATATTAGAGTGTTTTTTATATATATCACTACCTGTCTCTAATTATAGAACAAAATATGATCTCTTGAAAGAGATTGTTGTTGCCTCTCTACAACTTGAGGGCTAATACTACAAATTTTTGTTATATCAAAGTTAATTATATAAAATATTTAATTAATGAGTAAATGAATTATTAATATATTATATAAGAAAGAAACCACTTTTATTTAAAAGTTCTTTATTATAGTTAAAAAAGCAATAAATAATAATATATAAGGAAAAAATCTACTTATTTATATATTATATAATGTTTTATTAGTAACATTAATGTTATATTAATTTTTGTACCTCTTGCATATTTATTATCGGGTGCATCAATCAATAACTAAAGTATTATTCCAACTTAACCAATGGTATCAAATTCAAGTTTTAGATATATAAAAAGAGAATATTGTCGTCGTCAGTAATGATTTTATCCAATTTGAATAAAATTGTCTATGAAAAAAGATATTTGGTATAAACTAAAAAATCTTGTGTATCTGGCTTAATCATATATTTTAAATATATATATATATATAGAGAGAGAGATTGGTATGAATACATTTAATAAATATATTTTATATTAATTAAATTTAATAAATACAATAATCATATGTAATATTTAATAAATACATCAATTATAAAATTATGAGAATGATTTATTGAATAGGGTGTATGACCTACTAAACTTTGTAATTTTAAAAAAGAAAATAAGTAATAAAATAGGCCTTGTTGAAAAGAGGGATTTAAAAAAAAATGTGTTTCTTATGATAAATTATACATGCAGATTACAAAATCTTACATGTGACGCTTGAGTTTGGACTTTCCCTGAAATTCCAAGTAAATAGTCCAATTTGGTAAAAGTAAATAAATAAATAATCAAACCACCTGTCTGTAGTGATCATGACCCATAACACTTGATGAGTCCTTTTCATTTCATTGTAACCAACATATACATGATCCCCAGATTCAAACTACCCTAAATTTTCACATATATCACTCACTTTCTCTGTCTTTTAGCTCACCTAATCAAACCTATTTTCAGCTAAAAGCCTAAAACTTCACTCATTCCCTTTCTACCTTTCCCTTCATATGTTTCATGTTCTATTTATTTTGCATATCAAAGTTTCTCCTTCTGTATTTTTTTAGACCTTAATCAAATATATGCTTTCGCAACTCCTAGTGAATTGTTGTCCATGTTTCTTTCTTGTCTTTTAGAAATTGAAAGAAAATACTGTGTCTATCCCCATTTTACAGGCCTTAGGATTAGTACCTAAGTTTTGTTTTCCATCGTTTAGTTATATTGTATATGACATCAAACAAGGAGAATTAAAGCAGCACTATGGTCATGAAAGTTGCCCTTATTTTGGTCCTCCTTTCAATTTTCTGTGTCACTTTCAAAGCTTACACCGAAGTTGATGCTCAAAATGATCACAACAATGATCCAACTCTCACCAACAAAGAGTTTTTCAAGAAAGCCAAAATTTCAGAATCAACCAGATTAACAAAGGAAGAAGATGGAGATGGTGCTATATCAGCAAAGTTACACCTAAGGAAAAGGCCAATCAATCATGGGAATGAGCCTAAAACACAAGCGCAAGACTCTGTAATGAGGGATTTGATCAGAATTCAGACTCTTCACAGAAAAGTCATAGAGAAAAAGTACACAAACAGCATCTCAAGGTATCAAGAAGTGAAGGAGAGTATCACCATCCAGAAGCAGAACAACCCTGCTAATGATGTTTTAGAATCAATGGAATCTTCTAAAGATGAGTTTTCAGGCAACATCATGGCAACCTTGGAATCTGGGGCCTCTCTTGGCACAGGAGAGTATTTCATAGACATGTTTATAGGAACACCTCCTAAACATGTTTGGTTGATACTTGACACTGGCAGTGACCTCACTTGGATTCAATGTGATCCTTGTTATGATTGTTTTGAACAAAATGGACCCCTTTATAACCCCAAGGACTCAAATTCTTATAGGAACATAACCTGCTATGATCACCAGTGTCAACTTGTTCCTTCCCCTGACCCTATTCAGCCTTGCAAAGATGAAAACCAAACATGTCCTTACTTCTATGGCTATGCAGATGGCTCAAACACAACAGGAGATTTTGCATTGGAAACATTTACTGTGAATCTCACATGGCCTAATAATGGGAAGGAAAAGTTTAAACATGTGGTGGATATGATGTTTGGTTGTGGTCATTGGAATAAGGGCTTTTTTCACGGGGCTGATGGAATACTAGGACTTGGGAGAGGACCCCTATCCTTTGCCTCACAGATGCAATCAATTTATGGTCACTCATTTTCTTATTGTCTCACTGACATATTCAGCAACACAAGTACTAGCAGCAAGTTGGTCTTTGGTGAGGACAAGGAGCTATTGAACAACCACAACAATTTCAACTTCACTTCATTGCTTGATGGAGAAGAAAGTCCAGATGATACATTTTACTATCTTAGGATAAAGTCCATCATGGTTGGTGGGGAAGTGCTTGATATTCCTGAACAAACTTGGAATTGGTCAACACAAGGTGCTGGTGGTGGTACAATTATTGATTCAGGCTCTACCTTGGCTTTTTTCCCTGACCCTGCTTATGGTATCATCAAAGAAGCATTTGAGAAGAGAATTAAACTGCATCAAGTTTCTGAAGATGGTTTTATTATGTCTCCATGTTACAATGTGTCAGGAGCGCAGCAATTGGAGCTGCCTGAATTTGGGATTCATTTTGCTGATGGGGCTGTGTGGAATTTCCCTGCTGAAAACTACTTCTACCAATATGAACCTAATGAAGTTATTTGTTTGGCAATTATAAAGACTCCTAATCACTCTCAAGTTACAATTATTGGAAACTTGTTACAGCAGAATTTTCACATTCTGTATGATGTGAAAAGGTCTAGACTGGGATATTCTCCCAGAAAGTGTGCTGAGGTTTAGCATCATATTAGGGGTGTGGGAAATGGAATTTAAAGGGTTTTGATTGTCAGCTTTTATTTATATTTTTTCTTTTCTATTCTTCAAGTTCAATCAAAATAAGATGGAAGACCAAAGTTTATTGTATGCTATTTCACTCAAAACAAATAATCAGAAAATTGATTTTTGTATAGTCCTACATGCATCAAACATATAGTTGTCTACTTGTCTTTGCTCAATTATTGGGACTCGGAAATATTAGAAGTCATGTATATATGGTTATGTTAAATATTCAAAGAGACAATCTTATTATTTGTAATAGTTTTTATCCGACTCCACCATAATTTACTTCGGTAAAAAATATATGTTAACAGTTGTTTGTAATTGCAGGGAATGTGGGGTGTTGATTAAACACTTGATAAAGATTAAAAGTCATTCATGGGTTGACACTTGAGGGTGATGGTTAGGTATGTGGCCAATATTATATAGTATGAGAACAAGTCAATTAGTTGGTTTGTCCCTTATGTCTGGCATGTGATATATTTCGAATCCTAGACTAGTAATTTTGACAACCTTTAAGGCTCCAAGCAAGAAGTTAATCCAAAGAATTGAAGCTCTCGTGTGAACTTTATATGGATAGCTACTATTCTATTTGTGTACTACAATATCGTTGTCGATGTAACTTATCTACTGGTTTTTTTGTAGTACTCTTGTGTTGATTGCAATTTTCAACACACGGGGTTGTGGATTTTCAACATGGAGATTTTTTCGCGTTCAGAAAGTTTGAAAAGGAACCATTCCCTTTTGGAAGTAACCAAGATTGCTTGTCAGTCATTCATTCATTATGTTACAGTTTTTTCTTTGAGAATATGTCATCAATCAAATATTTTTTGTTTATGTAAAAATTATAAAAAGACAATCGTATTATGTATATTATTTTAACCCTCACTATTAAACCTACTTAGTGTTTGAGTTAATGACTCAAATTCTTGATTGCATTATTAAATCATTTCGATTAAGAATCAAAATTGAAATATTCTTCACATTAATGGATTTTAGACTTTAACAAGGGGCATTTTAATTATCTTTTTATCATCTCTATATATATAATGAAAACTAAATTGTTCGCCGTATTATTATTTATTATATAATCATGATAATTAAATATTTTTTTTTAATAATTTAGTATTAAGTAGAAATATTGGATATTATATTATTACCATTGTTATTATATATAATATTTAATTATCTAATTCATAAAAATTAAGAAAAATAGTTAATTTATTTGATAACAGTAAATTTTTCCTATTTATATTTTAAAAAAAAATACCCTTACACAATTTATTTTTCTTAATTAACGCATGTATCTTCTAATCAATTAAAGTGCATATATTATATTATTTCTTTCTCTTGATTAATGTTTATTTTTCTCTTAATCAATTAGAATGCATACTCTTTAAGATATTATAATTAATACATTTTACTAAATTAAAAATATATATACTTTAATTAGAAATATTTTAATATAAAATAATTAATATATGAAATAATATGAATTATGTCTTATATAAAGAAAAGAACGAACAATTGTTTAAAATTGAGTTTTATAAATAAGACAGATATAATACAACTTATCCTTAAATTTGAAATTTTAAATATTGAGTATTTAAAATGCATGATTCATAATATTTTTTTTAGTTAATAATTAAGAATAAATATTAAGAAATACATAACCATTGATAGAAATTTGAACTTTATAGTTGTCACTGACATTAAGGATAGAGGATAGAGAATGATTTGATTTTCTTCCTAATACAGTATCAAAATGTTCAACTACAGACATAAGGGACTTTGAAATTTCTTCCCGATAGGAACCACCACATTCTTTGAATAATTATATATATAAAAAACTATATAAAAAAAAAAAGATTTAATGACACTTTTTTTGTCACTCATATTTTACAATTTCGTAAATGTTTTTATCTAATTTTTAAAATTACATTTGTTTACCGTTCAATTTTTAAATTTTAACACATTTTCTCATCTCATTAATTAACTATTTATATTGATTATGTTTTTGGTGGAGGTTTGTTATTTTAGAGCATTTTCAATGCTGGTCCTTATTGGGGTTGCTTATTAAGATATTTTACTTAAAAAAATTGCATTAGAGTGGATGACTTGACACTGAGTATATTATTTGGGTTGCTTAATAAGCAACGGTGCTTACAAGTTCTACGCATTAAAAAATTATGTTTTACGGGGAAAAAACTTCACAAACAAATTCAAGCTTGGGAAACATGCCAGAATGTGAATAATCATGTGCTGAACGTACGTGTTATGAAGCAATGCAACCAAAAGGTAAATTAAAGATATAGAGAGTAAAGTATAGAAAAAGAGAGTTCAGAGGAGGAGTTATCTTATTTCATTCATATAAAGGATACTTATTCTAGTAGCTGGAAAATTCATAATAAAAGTGAAATTCTAATTATGGATGGACATCTAGGAATCTAACTCAATCTTATAAACTTTTGTAAGATTATAATGTTAATTTTATCATTATTGGATGTGAGATTTTCAACCACAGCTGCAAAATTATAATTCAAAGTTCTTCCATTCTTTAAAATGAGAACTGATCTTATTTAACACAGCACATATATATACGTAATATTAACGTAGATGATAATGAATTTCAGCAAAGGGAGCAAAAACAGTAACTGGCGAATGATCAAACGTGAGGGGGATATGTCGGTTATGTGGACTAGATAAACGGTAGTTATTTTCAGCTTGAAAGGAACCTGGATATGTGGAATTTCCTTGAGACAAATTTGTGTTGGAGTAACCTAAGTAACTACTGCCATAGCTTGCACTTGAATGTGCCAAACTTTGAAGCCTTGCACCAGATAAATTTTGGTTCGGATTGAAACTGTTAATCCCCGCACCACTGTAGTTTTGTTGCCCATTGTATCCGTTGCTAAATGAGTTGTTGTATGCATCTGGAACTTGGTTGTAGAATGACATGCTTATAACTATTGTTGCAGTAATATTATAACTGTTTCCTTATTTCTATATATACTCACAACCACTTTCTTTTCCACACACTAGTTTTCTAATTCTGATATGATCAAGAACATGTTGTGTTTCTTCTTGATCATAAGGTTGGTCTCTCTTTTTGAACCTCAACTTCTTTCTTTTTTTTCCCTCCCAATTTGGTTATTATTGATAGGCTTGATTTATTTTCGGTTAGGTAACACTATATTATATAGAGTTGCAGACACGTTAATTCTGCATTCATGAACCAGTGTAG